ATCGTTTGTGTCAATATAAAAATAAACAAAATACAAAATATATTAGTTTTAGTTTGTTAACCTAGTTCGATATCTAGCTTATTTAAGGCTATAAAAAAGCCAATTACATCCGTGGTTCGCCGGATCGGCCGAGTTCGGTCCCACTCGGCCGATCTAGAATCGGAACGGGCAGGACCATTTCGGTAAGAAGAAAATATCCGATTTTTTGCAAAATCTTTCTAAACTCATTCATATTTTCATTTTTATCATTCTAAGGTGTGTTTGTCGCTATTTCTTTAATTATTCCTTCATATATAAGTAAGGAGGGTTAGAAAGAAAAAAGGGTCTGAAGAAGAAGAAGATCGTGCAGGATGGGTTGGAGAAGAAGATTCTTGTAGGATTAGGGAAGAAGAATGCGTGTGGGAAAAAATTGATTTAAAAGAAATTTCGGAAATACCCAATTAATTATTTAAATCTAATTAATTTATTTTTTTAAATATAGTATAAAAATAATTTATTTATTTAATTTTTAGGTTGGACTTAGTATTAGGTTATTTTAATTAATTAATTAATTAAATTTATAAATTCAATTTTAGAATTGTATTTAATTTATATAAATGAGTTTTTATTACAATTAATATTATACTGTAGAATAACTTATAATTAAGTGTAAATATATTATTTAAAATATTTTTTAAACAAGATTTTAAATTATAATAATATTTTTAAAATTAATTATATTTATGATTCGATATATTTTAATAGTTTATTATATTTTTTAATATAAATTATATATAAATTATCAATATTTTTCTTTGGCATGTTGGATTTCCATTCCTAATGAAATCGTGACACCTATTTACTTATTTTTTATTATTAACTTTTTTTACTTAAAAATATTATATATTAATTGTAACTTGCTCTAATAATTAACTTAAATAAATAAAAAAAAATCATAATTATATTAGGGCTTAGGGTTCTGAGCTCTTTGCTGCATCTAGTTGCCGAATCAGAATCTAATAGAAGGGACGTCAGTTTTTTAAAATTTTAAAATAACATAATTTAATTATTTTATATACTCTCTCTGTTCCGTTGGAAGGGTGGCGTTTGCTTTTTGCAAACAGATTTTTGAATATTAGTATTATATTGGATTGTAGTAAAAAAGATAAAAATACGTGTAATATAAAAGTAATGACATTTGTGTAATATATTGTATTTTGAAAGAGAATTTATTATGTTAAATACGTAGTACAATTACTAAATTAGGAAATGGTAACCTTGTTTTGGAACCGACGAAAATGAAAAAAAATGATAACTTTTCAATGGGACGGAGGGTGTATAAAGATATATATTTATTTATTTTCAGACAATTATATTTTTTGAGTTTCTATATTTTAAAAACCAAGTTGGTTATATTGTTGATTGAAGCTAATCATTACAATGTGGATTAGTTTAAATCATTATATTGTAACGATATAGACAACACATAGTATTCTTTAGTACCCATACGCTCATCTTTAAAGCCATTGATAAATAACTAACTGTAGTAATAGAAACTACGTAGATATTGAGTTTTGTATAATTAATATTAAGATTGTCTTAGAACCATGATTCAGAATTCTAGTTCGTGTTTAAGATTTTTGTTAATATAATACTAGACTAACTGAACAATAATAATTTTTATTTAAAATCATAATGTAGCAAACCCAAATTTTACTATTTTTTATGTATTTAAATTATGTTTATAATACTATGTATATGCATTTATAATACTATTTTTTCCGTTATCGTTCATTAAAGTAACTAGTACAAAAAAAATATATAAATAAAATGTATAAGTAATAGATCAATCATTAAAACATAAATAAAATTAATATAAAAATTAAACATAATTACAAATAAAATAGATTAGAAATTATAAAATATATAAAAAAAAAAAAAAAAAAAAAAACCGCCTACAGTAGTACAATTGTGCTACTCTCAACTACTCTGCACTATACAGTATACACTAATATTATATAATATAACTTATACTATAAAATTACATATATTATACATAAACAAGTACAACTCTACGTTACACAATAATGCATAAATTACATATATAATACTCCCTCCGTCTCGTAACAAAGTATCCATTTTTTCATTTTAGTCTGTCCTGTAACAAAGTATACATTTCATTTTTTTAGTATTTGTACTATCTACCTAACATTACAAATATCCTTACAACTTACAATATATTATACAAATACCATTATTTTTATATCACACAATACTAATAAAGTTATTTTAGTCATTTCTACTTTATTTCACACTACATTCCAATATAATACTAATATTTATAAAACTCCGTGCAAAAAGCAAACATATACCTAGTTATGCTACGAATGGAGTATTAGATAATACTACAAGGCTGCAAACCATCCGCCCCACCTACAGTTACACGATAGTACAAACTACATAAATTAAATATATAAATCATAATATTAAATAATTCTGAAAAACTGCTGCCCCACTCTACACAGGATAGTACATAAAAATACATATATAATATTAAATAATTGTACAGCAGTATGCTTGCACCACTAATTATATTATATATATAATTATATATATACACTCCATTCTTACAACGTAGAAACATATTTAATGATTTCTTCTTACCTGCGAGGAAACGTTAAGGGGAGATAGAAGACGACGATGGAAGACGAAATCGAAGAGGCGGATAGCGACAACAAGACACTTGAGTGAGAGACTAAGCACACGAAGGTATTAGGGTTGTGAATCAAGTTTCTGGGTTTAAGAGTGGGTTTAGGGGTGGGTTAATTTTAAAAAGAATTTAATCTAGTTTAAACCTAAGATTTAGGCCCAAAGCTTCTTCTCACGCCGTTTGGCGTCGTCTTGGCAGAATGGCGTCACTAAAGTAATGCCTGGACGCCAGCCGCGCCAAACGACCCGGATCATCACCGCCAGGACGCCTAGGTGACACCGTGACAACCTTGGTCATAACATTATTGATATCGTGACGAATACCTTTGCAAAATATTGAACTCTTTAAAAAGAACCAGAATTTGCAGTTGACAAAGAGCTTTATCCTTTATGGATTAGACTAGACTCGATAGCATGCATTCACCACTTAGACCATATGCAATACTAAAATTCATCGTTACGTTCTCCAATATATTTTTTTATGCAACATCATGTATTTAATTTATTAAAAATATAGTTTAATCAATACATAATATAAATATATTATATAAATTCATCAAGAACGGTTCTTAGTTTTTTATTTTTTAAATTTTTTTTATTGCTGATGTGTAAATACACGTAAGACTAAGGTGCGTTCTACCGTGTTTAAGAACTCTCCATTGCACTTACTCTTACATTGACCAACAAGTCACTAGGCTTTACATGTGCTACTTTGAAATCTTCCTTCTTCGGAGATGAGTTTAGAGGATAATACAGTGGTTATCCTTGCTAACCAAGTTTTTAGCTCTTGTTTCTTTCACATCTTTGAGCCTCATGAGTTCACTAGTCAGGTTATTTCCCTTATTTACCGTTGACAAACTTGAGCTTCTCAGTTTTAAACTATTAAGAGATTTATACTTTGATATATTTTGTTTTATATTATTATTATTTTAATTATCCATTTTAGACTATACATATGAATAGATCATACTTATTTCTTAATAAACAATACAATTTTTGTAAATTCTCACAGAAGCCTTATGAATATACAATTTTTGTAGACTACCAGTGAACATCGCCATTGCCACCGCCCCTACACCACTGACATTGGTGTGTCCCTTAAGGGTGTGTTTCTTTGGGGGGTTTGGATTTTAAGTTGGGATTTAAATAGTAAAAATTTTGAATTTGAATAATTGTATAATGTGATATAAATAGGTGTTGATGTGATGTTTTAAATGTAAAATTGATTATTAGTATAATATAAAAAATAAAAAATAGGTGTTTGATTTGATATTTTTTAGGGAAAAAATTGGATGAATAGTGAAAATCTAATCTAATCTCCCAAACAAACACACCCTAAGTATTGCTGCCAAACGGCAGCACATGCGGCCCTTATGTGCTAATGACATTTTCCAAGGGCATCTTCCTTTTTCCGGCATGTGGCGACACATCTCGATAGTTTGGGCCACTAGATTTATGTATCATCATCTAGTGAATTTTCCCTACAATGGAAGTTCATATGCCGAGTCATATATGTTGTTCTATCTTATTGACTCTAAACATGGCGATAAAATGTCATTACTATCATCGTTAAGGTCATGTTATTCAAAGTCATCATGTTCAAAATACTTGGGCGCTTTATCACCTTAATCAATATACATCTACGAGAATCTAGAAAATCGTAACTCTCTTGCATTAAGTCTTGGCTTCCAATTTCTCTCCTATCAAGGCCGCCACTTCAGGTAGTCCTTGATGGTATTTCGATTATGACAGTTGCAATCATATTGCACCTATCTCTGGCATTCACATTTCATGTATTCTCTTCACTGCCTCTATACATTCCTAATGGCATGTTGGCAGCCACATGAATATCATTTACCATGGATCTATATTATCATCTATAATCTTTCTAATACTTATTGCATTCCTTATTTAACGATAAACTTATCAGTAGATCAACTAGTTGAGCAGACTTAATGTAACTTCTTTTTCTGATGTGCAGTGAAAATATCATCGATATTACTACTCCCACTCTTATTTTCACTTCCATCACTATTGTTACTACTTCCACTCCTACTGCTATTTTCACTTCTTCTAGTCTCTAGTGACATTTTTGCCTTGATCAAACATCTTCCCCTAAAACTAAATATTTGGTTAGTAAGATTCTTTTAAGTTCTACTAGTTTTGAGTCTTTTGCTTACACTATTGTTTGTAAAAACAATTGTCTTATCCTTTTCAAAAAATATAAATATGTCGATTGCAAGTAAATTGTTTTCGTATATTTGAGACTCTTCTCTTATTACTTCTATGAGTGAAAGTCATTACTTTTCATATTCATAGATAATTACTCACGATTATGTGAATGTATTTTCTGAAATAACATTCAGAATTACCTCAATCATACATTGAATATGCCCAAATGATTCGGATTCAACTTTGTTGTTCCATAAATACCCTTTGCACTGACAAAGGAATTGAGTATAACATTCTACCTCGTTGAATTTCCTTTTTGCTCATGGTCCAGAAATTTAGCATTTGTATCCATATACCTACCTCCCAACAAAAGATTTGGAACACGAATTGAGCAACACCCAGGAACGACCTACTAGCACGAGTAGTGGATGATAAAGATTACGAATGTATTAGGCTCAACACAATAGTAAGAAAATAAGGGAAGTTTAAAGACCAAGAGAGGAGAGGGTGATCACACACCATCTAAAGAATGGCGTTTGCATACTCAAAGTTAGAGTGAGGATTTGGATACTCCGGATAATTGGGATTGACCACATCTCTTCCTCCATCGCCCTAGTTTCTCTCGTCCCTGCAACACCATCAACATCAATCATCACCCACACATCAAGGAATATCAGACAACATTCATTAAAAAAGCTAAGTCTTAATGCCTGTCTTGTCTGTTTATCTCTATAACACAACCACACGTCGTCATTATATATATTTATATATTCATACCATTCGAGGAGCAACAGCTAACTCATTGTCTACAATCTGAATTGCTTTCATGCCCACACCATCCAACACCTCTTCATAACTGCACATGATCCATACATATATACATACAATGACTACGCAAAGTTACCTTTACTCAGCATCATATCATTTCCAAGATCCATCCACGATATACACAAAAAAAATAAAATAAATATATATGCATATATATATATATATATATTACTCAGTAGCTGTTACTCTGTAGGGAGGCCCACCCTCATGATCATCAATCTGCTCCGTCCCAACAATAAAATACAATAATCAGACTATGTAAGTATCTGTGGAAATCAGTTTCCATGAAAAAGGCAAAAAAAAAAAAAAAGGATAGAAGTGGAAGAAAACTACTGTTCTTTACTTACAACCAACAAACAGGAGAAATTGGTACATTGGAGCTTTAAACAAAATTACTTTGTGGTCTCAACAGCTAAACAACATTATTGGTGATTGTTCTCTCATTTATAGTCACTTCACTAAGTTCATTTTTTGTTTCTCAAAAATTAGAAATAGTTTTACTCATGGATATATATATTATACATAGAGCCTAGGGAAAACAATAGAAAATAGTGGAAAATTATATTATAGCTAGACAAAAAATTTGTCTGCCTTTGGCAAAAGAATCTGCCAATGTGAGGAGAAAGGCCAAGGAGCCAGCTACTCCAACCTATGGGGCCTGGTCCTTGCCTTCATATAGGCTCCAGCCGGGCCTACCACTGTGGGATTGGCCTTAGATCGACTTAAGACCGTCTTAATCTATTTCAAAAATAAAAATAATGAAAAATACTTTATAGAATAAGTATGTCAGCTCAACCCAGGCCTAACCAAAATCTTCCAAATACAGTAGCAAATCTGAGCTAGTCCGGGCTGCCCTCCTTTATTTTTCAACCAGCCAAGACCAGCCCGCTTCAAAATTAATGTACTCCTCCTAGCCGTGGGACAATATGACTATGGAGGGAAATTTTTTGGTAGAGAGACTTAAGTTTAATGGCGGGGTCCAGATTTTAGGAATGTTTCCTATCAGATCTCAAGTGATGGACAATGGCCAAGAACATAGAATCATAGAAATTCTTGTTTTTCTTGTCTTGAAAAGGCAGATGAAAACTATATTCAGGGGTGGCTTAGAGTGTCAAGAAATATAGAAAACGAAACAAAGGGGGACTTGGCAAACCGGATACATCAGAGTTATTAGTTCCCCATCTGGTTTCAGGAGATCACAAATTTTTCTAGCCCAAGTCGGTCTTAGCTCTGGCTCAATGGCACAGAAAAACCTGTGGAGATTACATTGATCGTCTCAAGAATATTGTTAATGCAATTTTCAGTAAACTAAGTTCAGCATCTATATATAATACATATATATATATATATATGATGCATAGGACTTACGTATAGTCAAATATGAGATCAAAAAGCTCCGAAGGGCACCAGGTAAAGAAGTCAGTCTTTAAAAAACTATAATGCTCTGCATTTGGTGATCCGGAGGAGAGCTGCCACACAATGTTAGCAATACAAAAATTCAAAGGTGACAACAAAATGATCCAATCAAAGTTACCAGATCAAAAATAGAACTAAAAGATACAACACAATATTTATTTAGTTTCTAAATTAACCTTTATTTTTTTCTTTTCATGAACCATTACTTTGGTGAGCCAGAGATTGGTGTTCCATAATGACACAATCTTTTAACCTAGAGCCTAACACTTTGAGCTGCAAGTGATGCAGGTAACGATACAGAACTTACTATTTAGTCCAAATTAGCATAGTAGAGAAATTTAATTGTAGATTGAAATTGTATCAAAGTGGGAATCACATAAGTTGAAGCATGCTGTTCAGAAGTTGGTCAAAGTTGTAAACTTTTATAAAAGTTACAGAGAAAAATTCACATCTTACTTCAGATGCTTTCTTAATGGCACTCTCTGATATGTCTATACCTATAACATGACGCTCAGGGCATGCAATTGCCACCACATCATAACCCTGCAGCGTATAAAGATATCTGTAGTGAAGAAAGCATCACAAAACAATTAAAAAAGAAAAAAAAGAGCAGAGGCCTTTGTTTGATTTTGTAAGAGAGTAAAGAAGTGTGTAATCTCTCAAATGGAGCATTGGAATGAATATCATTATAGTTACTTGGCTTCCAATTGGTAACAGAATCATTTCCAAAATCTAGAATCAAGAAAAACTGATGGTTTAGCAGAAATGAAAAACTGATGGAATAATGATTCCAATCTTAATAAGCCAATTATTCAGAAATGTGAATGAAATAAACGCATTTCACTTTCATAGCATTGAACTAGAACAACAATTATTTGAAATTAGATAAAACCGAATAACCATTCAAAGCAACAAAAGAACTTAAAAAGGCGTGTTAAAACATGTTATCTTTCTGAAGCAGAATAGAATTACAGTTGCAAGGAGTAGATAACAAAAGAAATTGTAAAAATTAAGAGACAAATGGAACAAGGCTTACGGCTCCGCAGCCGGGTATGAGGGCTCTGCCTTTTGGAAGGGATCCCGTGGTGTGAAGGTGAACAAGGAGTGGGGTGGGGGACCCCAAATCCCAAGGTGTTAGACCTTCATTCCAGCACTTCTCCCACCCATCTGAAAACCCAAGCATATATAGCATCAATCAATCACCATGATTATGAATGATTAAATTCAATTATACAGGAAGGAACTTTGTCTTTATCCTCTGTTCAACCTCGATCGTTTCTACTTACTAAGCGGGGAGTCTGAGGCTGACGCTGAGCGCAAGACCTGCTGGAACGAGTTGACTCTGGCATCAAGAGGGATGGGCGATTTGAATTTGGATTTGGAGGGTTCCATGTTGTTACCACCACCGGGTTTTACAGGTGAGCTCTTGAAGAAGCGCGCTCCAGTACAGAAAGTGGAGAGATTTCCCAAGGTATAGGCAACCGGATCGGAGCGGTAGATAAGGGAACACCGACGCATTGTAGTAATATAACAATCCCTCTTTGGCTTTCGATGGCTTAGAGAGGACCGAGGAATCAAATACAGATAATAGTAATTAATAATAATAATAATACTACTGTCTATTAAATTTAATATTTTAGATAAAAAATTATTAAATATTACTATCTCATTTCTATCATAGTGTTTGTGTTTTCTTAAGTGGATAATATAACTCAATAAATTAATAATAATAATATTTATAGTATTTTTTTTTTATTTTTTTATGTAAATAATGTTGTTAATATCACTACAAAAAAATATATATATTTGTAACGGAATTCCGTCCTTAAAATTCACGTAGCTAACGTAATTCTATTACTAATTCAGTCTCTAATGTTATTAGTAAGAGAAAAATTAGATTTAGAGACAAAAATATTTTGTTAAAAAATAATTTTTTCCTATAGTATATTTTTAAATAAAAATTTATATATAAGTAAAAACATTAAAATATATTTAATATTTTAAAAAATATATCTTAATAAAATATTTGCATATGAATATCATTTTATATATAAAAAATAAAATTTTATATTCCTTAATTTTTGTAATTAAATAAATTAATATTTTATAAATATGTAAGGTAATAAATTAATATAATATATATTTGTCCTTAATATTAAAATAAAGATAATATGAAAAACTAAAAATAGGAATACTTTTGTATTTAATTAATATATACTTTTGAAAATAGAGAAATTTTTACTTCTACATACTAAAATAAATGAATAAATAAATAAATTTAAATAATTAACATAAATTAATTTCATAAAAAAAAATAAAAAAACATTGAATATAAATAAAAATTTATTCAATGAAAAATAAAAAGACATTTTTTTTTCCAGAATAATAATAATAAAAAAAATTAGTACATAATAAATCAAATATCTAAAGTATTTGCAATGCACAAGCTTGAAAGATATTTGGTGCAGTACAACAGCTAGCAGCACAAAAATTATAATTCTATTTTTTTCCCTCATATTTCAATTTTTCACTCAAAATCTTTTTTTTTCCCTTCGCCTCTTCCCCTCCGAAAGCAAATTGTTCTCTTCTTGAATAAGAACCAGATGAGAAAGATTTCATTCAAGGCCTTTTGACTCACGTTTTTGTTTGGGTAAAGCTTCGTCGATAGCCGTCGGTAAGTTCTCCTTCTATTTGCTATTGATATATGAGGATTTTGATTTGTTTCATATTCAAATTATGTTAACTTCTTACTAATTAGCTGATAATGCCCGTCCTTTGATTAATTTGCTATGAGTGAAATGAAAATAATTATTTCAACTTTCATTACAAAACAATTGACTTTTTTGTAGCAGTTAGAAATTCATAAAGAAAATTCAATTTTCGTGCAAAAACACCTCTTGTGTCTACTTTGTTACGAATTTTAACCGTTGCAAAACGTTATGGTACAAAGAATCGTTGTTGCGGAAAAATTCATAACAAATAAGTGGCGATCAACGCCCTTAATATGCATGAGCTAATTGTATTTGTAATATTTTTTGTCTACAACAAAAGATTAGATTATGTTTTTTATATGAAATACACGTAACAAAAAATTACAATATCAAAGTAGTGATGTTGTAAGAAAACTTTTTATGATGAAAAATCTCCATTACAACAAGTATGCAACAAAAGTGTCTGCATGTGAGAGAGTTTTTGCTACAAAAAATATCCGTAACAAAAAGTGCGCTACAAAAGTTGACATAATGTCAGGACTTTTTGTAACAAAACTAGTTCGTAACAAATGAGATATATGGTACAAATGAGATATCTGTGTCAAATAAAGTTTTTATTGCTACAGAATAAAATGCACTCAAACATTATATATGTTACGGACCCAACAACGTCACAAATACCTAAAAGCATAAATTGCCATACATAATCCAAAAAGCTTAACAAGTCCTACAAAATAACGTCAATCCAACAATGTTCATAGACATGCCAAAAGTAGAAACATAACCGTCAAAAGTATTATCAAACATATTTAACTATGACCGTGCCTTAGACCATCATAACAACTAACTAATATACAGTTCCCAAGTTAAAAATATAATACTCCCTCAATCCCTATTCAAAATACTCTTTTTGCCATTTTCGTCTGTCTTACTTCAAAATAGCTTTCTTATTTTAGAAAAAGTAATCATACACTAAAACCAAAATACCATTAACTTTTATATAAATTACAAACATACTACATATCATTACTTTATACATAAAGTCAAAGAGCAAAAATGTCAAAAACTCTTACACAATTTCACTAACTAATACAATACTATTATTTTTTAATCTACTACAAAACTCCAAAGAGTCCCTTTCCTTAGGGACAGAGGGAGTACTTAAGAAAATCAATCCAACTCCAATAAAAAGTAATTCGGACGACCAAACTCATCAATTGTAAAATAAAAAAGGCAAGAAGTCAAGGACAACAAAGCTACTCCAATGAGAAGCCAATATATATAATTTATTACAATGATTTAAACCATTTAATTCCCGAAATAGTAAAGCTAATAAAGAAAAACATACATGCTAGTATGTCCATTCGATATTATCTCCGTTGAGTACCTCTCTAAGGATCTTCGCTCCAGCATTCGTAAGGAGTATAAGTGGAGTCTCAGGACAGTAATAGCTATGACAAATACTTTGACAATGGCTATGGTATCACCTATATAAATACGAAAAATATGTTCTAGTTACAACGAAGAATGACATTTGAAAAAATATTTTTGAATATACGTGAATTGCAAACTTGCAACTGACATACGAAAGTAAAAAAGTAAACGAGCGACAAATTATTATTTCATGATTATTGGGATAAAAAAAAAAAGTAAAGTACCTTCTAAAATGTGTTATGGTCCTACAGTTTAACAATCAACATATCATCCAGTCCATCCTCAACAACAAAATCAAAAGTTCTATTCCACACAGGGTTCAAACTATCGTTCACAACCTAAATAACAAAAATATCATCATGCTCTGATCAAAATTTCACGTTGAACACATAGTAAGAAAACATAAAAATGTACAGGATCAAAGAGCAACACATCCGGGTTTTATTTCTCAATTTAGTTTTCTTCATAGTGAGTACCACGTAAGGATCGACCTTCCGGATAACATCAGCTGGTGCCAATTCTTCAGCAGATATGACAGTAACAGACATCAATCCTCTTACAATGACTTCGAATTTTTTTTTTGAATAAGTAATTTAACAAGAGGCAACAAAGATGTCATCTATAATATCGCAAGATGCTTCCTTGTTCCCTATCTCAAGCCATCATAATTTTTCCTAGTAGAGTAAGTTTCATGATATATAAGTTATAACTAAAGCAAACAAATACTTTACATGCTCCTGCCTTCATTGTCTCATTGAATCTTTAAATCTTTCACCAATTTTAACCACACATTGTTCACCTTGCAGGGCTGAAGCTCGGATATCAAAATGTGAGCACAAACTATTAGTTCAGAGGCTTGAATCCCTTCATCATCATAGATTTTAACCACCAAGAGTAGGGTTGAAGCATCCTCAATGACAAATTCAAAATGTTCGATGCAAAGATTGAGAATATCTCACAATGATGAGCGGATGGGATGGTTGGACTCCAACAAATGGGGAAATCCAATTCAAATCTTACTAGTAGAGCAATACTGAAGCTTTTTTTTGTATATGTATAGTCAGTTCTTTGAGAGTAGTAGAAAATTAATAATTAAAAAAACTTCTATGCACTAAGCAATTGGAAAACAATTTTTTTGCCCCAATGAAGATTTCAACTACAATATGGCTTCAAAATAGAGATGAGACTTGGAAAATTCAAGTAAGGCTATGAATATATTTACTCACAAATTTTCTAGCTAAGAAACTTTCCAGTTCGCTTGGAATCAATCCACTTAAGTAGTTTGCCTTCACAAATCTGTGTTAAAACAAAAGTACGAATGATTAATGCTAACAGAACACTCATATGCATATATAGATAATAATAATAATAATAATAATAATAATAATAATAATAATAATAAATATCAAACCATTGAGCAAATAATGATTCATATGCAATAATTTTGCAGTAAGTAATAAAAAAATTTGTGCTAACATATAATCACTATAACTTGCAACATTGCAAGGAAAAGTAAAACAAATTTAAGAAATAAAAACTATTATGCTCCATAGAAGATGCATTAATTCATGTCACATAAAAGAAAATATAGTTTACAGTGAACATACATACATTGTTGAAAAAATCAAACCATTTAAAATCATATCAGCATAATTTTAATTTACAAAAAATAAGCTTGTGAGCATTGAGAATTGATATAAAATCCTCACATAGCATGATAATTACTTATAATGATTGTAAATGCGTAAAGCTCCCCATTTCTGGAGGGATGTCCCCATAGAAATTGTTATCATGAATAGCATTAACAAATAGTTAAACTTATTATAAGTAAATACAATTAAATTTTCAGAATTTGAAAAGAAATAGCAGGAATAGCAATAGACATTTACAAAAATTGTAGATTTTTTAGCTTTTCAATATCAGATGATATGGGTCCACTCAACTTATGGTTCAGAAGGCTCCTGCATTGCCAAGGAATACTAATCTTCCCTAGATAAAATTACAATCAATTTCATATCCATTTTCATTTACTCAAAGCATCAAGCCAGTAGTTTAGCAAACAAGAAAAAAGTAATGGTGAAAACCACAAATGAAACAAACAACCACCTTGAAGTGGGATTTACATCATGCTATATAATAAAAATATACATGTATGAACAACTTCTTCTTCTATCTTTCTTTTATCGGAAAGCTCCAATCGGTCACAATGATGTTTTCTCCGCCGTCTTCAATTTTCATCTCCGGCATCAATAAGCGACCACGAACTATAAAGACAGACAACAACTGCTTTGAAAAAGAATAAAAAAGAATGAAAAAAAATGAAGAAGTAAACGAAGAAGAAAGAAAATGAAGAAGAAAATGCAAAAGAAGAAGAAGAAAAAAAAAACAAAGGAGGAGGAAGAAGGATAAAGAAGACA